CCGAGATGTCTCGGCCACACCCCAGACTGGCCACGGCCGAGATGTCTCGGCCACACCCCAGACTGGCCACGGCCGAGATGTCTCGGACACACCCCAGATTGGCCAGGGCCGAGATGTGTCGGCCACAGCCGAGATTCGCAGGCACTACCCTTCCAAGGCAAACGCGAAGTCTCAAGAGTACCCTACTCCGAAGAAGTGGGGGGCTCGGGGCAGGGATGGAGGCCAAAAAAAAAAAAAGAAAAAGAAGAAATAAAAAAGTAAAGAAAAGAGGAACTTCGGAATGTATCTGGCCAGGAAGTGAGGAACATGAAACAGGTCATTTTCCTTTTTTGTTTCTCGTTGTCAGGTCCTTGTAGCGCCCTGCCAGCCAGGCAGGGCGGATTCCACGCGAGGCAGCTAACTGCCTCGTTTCAGCAAGTACTGTAGCATCCTGTATCGGACCGCAATCACAGCATAAGGGATGTTTTTTTTTTTTTTTTTGTATCTGCTACTCGTGGATCGACGAGGGCCCTGACTGAACTGCATACGCCCTGAACTGCATACGCCCGAGTTTCAACTGCAATTGAAACTCGGGCCGAATTTCAACTGCTATTGAAACTCGGGCCCTGACTAAACTGCTAAAACGCAGTTTCCAATGCAATTACAAACTGTTTTCGTGACTGCGCAGAAGTTACCCCTTTTTTTAATCTTATAGGGTGGCCTTATTGCCAGCCATCTGTACTCTCATATGAGAGCATCAGGCTGCAACCCAGGCCAGCTCCACAGGGACAAGGGGGGCGGCGATGGCCAGAGGACAGCTGGTACCAGATTGACCAAGCACCATCTGAGTGGCAAGTCACTGTGCCTCGTTGATTACCCCTCCCTTTACGAACATCAGCAAGACTGCTTAATGCTGATCAGGGGGACCAACGGACTATCTTTACATGAAGGGCGCCAAGCATGCCCAGGAAGGTACATGAGGCCAGTGGGAGTTGAGCCCACGACCTCGAGAGTGCCACTTGTGTGCCTTACTTGACTGACCTATCTATTGGGGGCCATCTTCCTGGTGTAAAGTAAGGTATCTTTTTCAAAAAGAAAAGGCAAGTAACATATCAGTGATATCACCATTGTTTGGATTGGTACCTTGGGGGCGGCGCAGCGCGACCGGGAACGCTGTGCCGCCCGTACTCGGATTTCAGCCTGCGGGAGCGGCGAACGCTGCGGTGCAAGGCGGGAGCTGATGATGCGGATGGCGCGAGGAGTAAACCTTGGGTTGACGGGACTTCTGTCTCGTAATCAGGGTCGGGACGCAGGATATTCCGAGGTAATGCAGCGGGGAGAAGCGTGGTGAATGGGCAGCGGAGCCTGCTATTGTTGGGTTACTTCTGTGGGGCCAAGTGTATTTTCATCAGCAGGGTATGACTAATCCGGCAGCAGTGATGATCACGATACGAGGAATGATCAGCGGTGGTAGGAAGAGTCTCCCCCCTTCCTCGACAGCAGGTTAAGTACAAATTAGCATGGTATTTTCTGGAGGTTTCGAACCCCCTGTGGTGACTCGCCAACAGGTTTGGTGAGGAGGTGCCACACCGTTTTTTGATTCCTTTCAGGGATCAAAGATGGCCGTCGATGGTTTTCGGTGTTTGCAGTGCCCAGAGCCTTAGTAGCTAGCAGTGGGAGGAAGGGTTCTTCCTTCCCCGAAGACGCTGGGGTAGGGTTTGAGGGGAAGAAGGTAAGTAGGTGCTGTCGAGGAAGGGGAGATGGAGGTTACTCACTGATCTGCTCAGGTGACGATTGGTTAGCCCATGCTCTAATGGTTGCTAATAACTGTCCAAAATCCCTTGATCTCCTAGCTAATAACTGTCCGAAATCCGTTGATCTCCTAATTTGGTTTCTCATTGATGATCTCGATTTAGAATTCTTGATTGTTCTTGAGTGTTTTCTCACGTCTTATTGTCAATTGTGAAGGTTCTGGTGGAGATTTCAAGTTGTAATTCCTCTGCATAGGTATTTTCCTCTCTTTACGTCCTGGAATAATTCGGAAATAAATCTTTGCAATATTCTAATTTTAGGAGTCTAATGCATTTGCCAATTTGAAAGTCGCGAATCAGACTGCGATTCTGATAGATTCACAATTCTGAATGTTTTTTACTAAACATAGCTTCTGAAATTCCAATCCGAAATTCTCCGGGATCTTCATGCATCCGTTTTTCCAATGGTTTTTTCTAATGACTGTTTCTTCCATAATCTAAAGTCCTTTTACTACTATCATTATTGATTCATTTTTCTTCAAGGAATTTCCTAAGTTGGATTTAATTCGTTGTTGATTTTCTACGGTCTTTGTGGCGGGATTTTTTGTTTTTTTAATTTTGATCAGAATTTGACCTTCTTCTTTTCGTCAGAGTTTTGTCGGAAATTTGAACAGGGGCCCCATGGGATGGTCAAGTGGAGCTTTTTTTTTTTTTTTTTTTTTTTTTTTTAASCCCWTGTGCCATCCCTCTATCTCAGCGGTGGTACAAGAACCGCTAGGATTGAGGGCTTGACTGTTGGGCTGCTCCATCTATTGGTGGGGAGCGGCACCTGCTGGAAACCGGGTCCAACGTCCCTTTGATACATCTTGTGGCTCAGAGGTTTTTCGATCGTTTTTTCCTAAGGCTGCAGTTGTTTGTCTTATTGATGTGGGGCTCCACTGACCCGTGGAGCTGCTAGTAATACCCTTCCCTTCTTGGAGCTCCTTTAATCTAACAACTCAGCCCAGTCCTGCAGCTCCCCTAATGATTGTTTCTTTGTCACCCATTTTTAAAACCCTGACACCCTCCACACCCACCATATCCTGTGCCCGCCCCCCTCTCTAGCTTGATCTGTTTTGCATGTTGTAGAGTCTTGGGGGATTTTGTTTTGAAGGAGGGGGCAAAGGGCATCAAATGATTCTTCGCAAGGATGGAGAGGGGATGGAATAGGGTTTTCTAATGGGTACCGGTCAGGGGGAGCTCTTATCAGATGCGATTGGTGTTGGGTAGTTTAGGCTTTCTAATGGGTACCGGCTGATGAGGGTGAGCCTTGGCGCGATTGGCGTTAGGTAGTGTTGGTTTATCCCCTCGAGGACAGAGACTGAAATTCTTGTGGGGGCAAGGAATTTCGGGGTGATGATGGTGCCCGCCCTCTGCTGAGATGAGGTTCTCTGGACATTTTACGAGGACGGAGTTTGGGAGAACGAATGAGGTTCTTCCTTTCGATGATGGAGGCAGGATTGTTAGGGCTGTCTATTTCTGGGGCTGCCTGTTTCCCTGAATTTGTCATATTCTTGTCAGAGATAGTCAAGTGAAGTATTTTTTTTTTTTATTATTATTTTTTTTTAACATACCCCCGTCAGTGTTAGTGGTGCTGATAAGAGCAGACACCACTAGAACCTGGGGAGAGGCTCCAGTCTATTGGTGGGGAGCATCACCTGCTGGAAAACGGGACTAGTGTCCCTTGTACAGACTGAATTTTGGAGTATATCAGGAAAAAAACAGATGTGCGGGGGGGTTCCTGCCAGCATTGATTGCCCTAGGATCTAGGGGATTGACTGAGCAGGATTCTGGAAGGAGGGAGGAACCTCTTCACCCTGCAACCGGCGCCAGATACCCACAGCTACTCGCTAGTCCCCCCCCCCCCCGCCGACCTCCCATGCTCTCTTGCTCACAGTGCTCAGTCAAGGGAAAAAAATATGGATGTTAATAGAAGAAACAGCCTCCCCGGGGGCCTCCTGGGAGGAGTTCCTTGTATGAGTATGAGTGTGTAGAAGACAAGGTTACGTCATTCAGGACAGGGTCTCTACCAGGGAAAGGGCGTGGGGTGGGAAAGGGTCTAGGAAGTCCAAGGAGGGGCGAAGTGGAAATGAGGGTTCAATGTTTGTCCAGTCATTGAAGCTTAAGCGGTAGTCTCTCATCTCTTCCGAATCCATATGTCCCTCTCCCCTGTATCCACTCCATTCTACTCTTGCAATCCATCCTTTTGTGTCTAACCATCTTTGTGTGAGTTCGAAGTGTACCTGCTGCTGAATCTGTTCGGTGATTTCTGGCTCTTCTACTCTCACCTTTTCCATGGTAAGCGTGCATCGCTGCCACCAGAGTGCCCATATCACTGCTCTCCTTCCAAGTCTGTACATATTCTCTATGAAGGTCGTGACTGTTTCTGCCTGTGGCCAGTGGCCAGCTAATATGGCTTGCCAGGACCATGGCCAAGCTATTGCGGATTCCATCTTTCTCCATATGCGATCCCACCATCTCCATATAAGTTGGGCGATCGGGCATTGCATGAAGATGTGTTCGACACCTACAGCAACAAAAAAGAGTAAAATTTGATGCAAAATCCTGTTAATGGAGGTATTCCTGCCAATGCAAACATAGTAATAGACATTGTAATAGCTAAAATAGGATTCGTCAACACTACTGCACACTTGTTTCATAGCTTTCAATTGAGCTGCAGAACCTACACGACTTACAGACAATCCTACATTAATAGCAGGTCGGATTTTCCGCCTTCTTGTTGAACGGGACAAGGCTCTGGCACCGGTGGCACCACGGGAGCAGCAAACCTTTTTGTTCTAAATTAGTACAGTCAGTTAGCCAGTCATTTGTTGGCAAACAACGGTGGGCAATCTGCCATTGCAGGGATGTGATTTTCATAGGTTTTGCTTTTTGTGCTTAGAACCAGTTAATTGGAGATAAAAGGGAGCGGTCGACGTTTAGGTATCTGGCCCATCGGTCGTTTACTACATCTCTTAGCCGTCTTTTAGGTCTGAGCATTTTATAAGCTGATTTGACCCACAGCTGGTGGAGGCTAATACGACCCCCTTTAGGGCCTCCCCACCCTCCGATGTCCATTCTACTGGGTCCAGTGCCAGATCCTGGATTGGTTTGAAAGGCTGGAACACCTCCCTCTGTCCTTTCTCCTCTAAGACTCTCACCCGATATACAGATGCTCTCTCCTTCCATTCAAAGGGGGCTCTGCTGCCTTGAAGGGCGTCTGCTCTAGTGATTGTGTAGTGTTCAACCAGGACAGTCTGGGGTGAGACCATATGTATCAGTCCAATCCTTTGTGGGGACTCCGTGCTTGCTACTCAGTCGCCTTCGTTTACGGAGGGCCCTCGTTTAAGGATTTGGTACCATGCGAGGGGGATAGCTTCAATCAGGCTTTCCAGATGTTTCTCTATGTGGTGGCAGTATCGTAGGATTCCTCGCATCTGGTCTCCTGTTTTCCAATCCCTTTTGTTAGTGTCCCAAAGATCCCCAACCCTGAGCACCCCTCTCTTTACCCAACTTCTACAAGGCAAGGACGAACTTATCATGACACAACCCCTCAAATTTGCCACCCATCGATTTCCAAAGAGGGGTTGCCGATAGACTTCTTCCCAGCGGTTAGGGTAGATTCTATCAGGGAGCGAAAGTCTGCGTCAGGTTTCTAGCAAGGATGACCAGAGGTTGTCCGGAATCTGGTCGTCTCCATCCAGCCCCTCCCTTCCTCGGAAGAGCTTACATGGGATCGACCAGAACCGATCCTCAAGCCATATCATCGGGTGGGTTGTTTGGGGGGCCTCTGGAGCCAGTCGGACCAGATGTTCCAGAGCCAATGTGCACCACGGACACAGGGGGATGAAAATGAGCTTTTTGATCCATCTTAGACGTAGCGCTTGCACTTGCGTGGCTTGGTCAATTATTCCCAAGCCTTCCCCGGCCTTAGCCTGAGGTTGGATAATTGAATCCCACGCCATGCGGTTGATCACATTGTTCTGCTCGCCATCCCCCCTCCATAAGAAGGCTGCAGTTGTCTTTCTCTTTAAGTTTTTTAAGGTTGTTTTGCTTAGTGGCCACAACAACGATTTGTATCATAAAGATGCGAAGACTACGTTGTTAATTACAAGGGTGCGGCCAAAAAGGGATGTGTGCTTATTTCTTCAATTATCTAGTTTTCGTTGCGCCGGGGCGCTGATCCATTCGTCGTTGATCGAAGGGTGTCCTTGAGTGGTCATAGAAACTCCTAGAATTCTTATTGGGGCCTCTAATGGCATCCACTTAATACGTGGTGACTCGGGGGGGTGTCCCCAGGGTTGTCGACCCCCGGACCCGGGGCCCCGGCGGGGGTCCTGGGGGTCGGGGGTCAGCACCCCCGGCCCCGACTTTCCAAAAAAAAAAAAAAAAAAAAAATCGAAAAAAATAATAATAATAA